AGACAGGCATAAGAATGGAAAGTGTACAATCAAAACGAAGCGAATTGGAGAAGGAGAGTGAGCCAACTGTCCATGTGCTGAATGATGACTAAGTATTTATGGTCAAGCATTAATAAGCTAGACAATGTAATAAGCGAGTAAGCATGCACACACACAATCAAACGTAGAATAATCGATACTGTAATCGAATTATTACAAATATAAAAAATGGTCGATACATTTATTGAATAATTTGAACGATTAATCATTGAAATACAATGAATGAACAGTGAGACGCTACAACCTAATCATATTACATTTCTCAATATAACTAATTGGTTTGTATCAATAAACTGAATGTGTTCACCTCAATTAGAAACCATTAGAAAATATTTCACTTTATGTTAAGTTTCATTCCCATAACTTATAGACCCTTCATAAAGAACTGGCATAAATTTTTGACTTTTATTCAACACGATAATATCAGTCTGTACTGAAATTCAAACTCCATGAATCGATTGTGGTGTATATTGTCATCATTTGGTATTTTTCTAGTAAAGAAATAAAAGCAATACACTTTCAACTAAATAATTTCGATCACCGCCAAAGCAAATTATTTTGGTCAAATAGGACTCGACAATCCTAGGATATATCACATTCATACTTGAATAATTTATAGGCAACAGAACTACATTTCGACAGATAACAATTAGACGAATGTCTAATCAAACTATTTATAATATTTGACACAGTATTTCATAAAGTTTCGCTAAAATAGACCATTTTATAAAAATATCGATAAAAGATTTATTTTAATCGATAAACATAAATATTTAGCCTTGTCCATCACTCATTTTAAAGAACTCCAATTACTGGTTTTCTATAGATTTGAACTTTAATATGTACTCCAACTTATGATTGACAATACTTTTTGGTTTCTAAGCCAACCAAATAATTGATTGTTGTCAAGCTAGATTGTGTACAGAGAAAATATATTCAGGTATTCACCTCTCTTTATTTAACCACCTATGTACTATTAGACAGTAAACAACATATTTTTTAGAAAATGCTCAAAACAGTAATACTCCATATGAAATGATTATATTTTTATGGTTCAATATTTGTAAATAATTATGTGAAGTTTTTATCTGATTTCAATTATTTTTTAATTGAACTGTTTTCATTTTAAGTATAAGCTTATTGATAAATTGTTTGCGCTTTGCCCTTGTATCGAATTTTCGATTACAAATAATTTGTCTTGCAAACAAATGAATTTGATTTAGATTTTTTAAACTAGTGATTCGTCGTGAATCGACCGCTTTTTTTAACCTAAATTTTACGAGTTAACTGTTGTTATGCATGTATTTAACAATTAATGGTCAATTTCAGTTAGTTAACAGGAGTAGTAAGATGAACTGATTGATCGATAAAAAATAGTTAACAACATCGAGCTGTACAGAAAAGAAAAAAAAACTTGTTAATTACTAATTGAGAATTGTTGGGCTTTGTTTGCAGTAAACTAAAATACTTCCTTGTTCATTAATCTGAATGGCTTTATTACTTTAACTTTTATTATTATGTTAGAAAGTACTGCAGAAAGAAGCATATTAAATTAATGGTTTCTCTCAAAATGAGACCTCCTAGCATGAAATATTTAATATACCAAACATCTGTTCTTCTAATCGTTTTTCTAATTCAATTAATTTCTTAGTTTATTGGGTAATTTTCATTATCTTACATTTTACTTACAATGAAACGTGAGACAATCGTTTAAAAGGTTTGAATCGCTTTGAATTAAATTTACTTGGAAATTATTAACATCTCAATATTGATTATCAATCAAGTAAGGTTAATCAAATATAGCAGATAATTTATTTTCAGTAGAGGGCAATGAATCTATACGGCTGATTAAAATTGATCAATCAAACTGTTCTAGTAGAGTATGCTAAAATTTGAACTGAGAATATAAGTAAAAACAGTTCTTAACTAATTAGATGAATACAAATAAAACTGTACATCCATTGTAAGAGCTCTTAAACTAATCGATATTTATCCGTTAAAAATAATGAGTAAAGATTATTTGTTTATTATCAGGACAATGATGAAAGCTGTGGCTGCTTAAATTAAATTTGGAAATTCACCCATGAGTAGATATAGTAAAAAGTAATTTTCAGTCCTACAACTGGTTTCATCGAGATTCTGAGGCCCGCAGATACGATTAGTTACAAGCAAAGCTTTTTCAACCAATTCAGATGGAATATATGTTTTAGAGAATATCCTTCATTAAACAGTAGCCTTTAAGAGTAATTTGGTGAGTATTTCACTATCATCAAGGAATAGAAAAATCTCCTACAAGTTGTCTTATGAAAGACCAAGGAAGAGTTGAACCGTAACGGTCAATTTACTGTTTCCAACGAACGTACTAACCTATTTTATTTTGTTCAGTCAGATAATATCACCATTTTTTACAATTATAGTATGGCTTCATACAAAGTAATGTGCCCTTATCATGTATATTAGTTAGTTCTGTGAAAATACTTTGAGAGTGGACCAGTGTAACCTACTAAACTCCAAGTAAATTTGTACACCGTTAAAAAGAATATTCCTTACACTTTTTGATGACAACAAAAACATATCCTCCAAATATTTGAAAATCGACTGAATGAAGTGATAAAAATGTAGTCTTAGTAGCATCATCCAAAAAAATCATTCTTTTTAACTAGTTGCCTAAGTGTAGTATCATCGCAGTGATCGATTAAGCATCTAAATTTTACAAAAATTAATTAAATTAACTTATATTTTCATGTATTTTATCTTTCAAATTAATATTCTTGTCATCAATAATTAAAATATAATTTTATTTTAAAAACTAAACAACATTGTTCGTATGTAATGTATATGAAGATGGTCCAATTATGGTTATGTATTATACAATATATATGAGAAAGCAGATATAGACCAACTTCGCACATGAAATGATTTCCGTTTGCAGCAGACTTTATATTCTTTTATAGACTTAATGAATAACGAGTGAATAATGTGCAAATGTATAAAAATTGAAATACAGTTAATATCACATTAATTTCATATTTTATTCAATGAAAAAAATATATAGTTTCAAAAATAATATTTATTGTTTAAGCCTTCCTTATGTATCTATATCATTCATGTATGAGACAGGTTATTTTTTTTAAAATGGTTTATTACTGAAATATTCATTAACTATATGCTGATAGTAGGTAGTAGTATAGTGAGTTTTTGAACCGACAAGATTTATTTTCAACGTTTAACATATAAAATGATTGATTCTTGTTAAATGAACGAAATAACGTTATAATGAAATTGAATTACTTATGATTACTTCATTTGTCAACAATTATTCACCAGTCTTTTAATCAGTTTATACTTATTAGACATTAACATGTGAAGTAAATAAATCTCCTTTGCCAAATAATCGATGAATTTTGATGCATATATTACTTGTGAATATATAATTTCAGAAAATTAACTACAGAATTAACTAAGAAACCTTTATTTGATAACCAATATCATGCCATTTAAACTTTGTGACGTCGCTAATAGCGGTGCTCAAAAAAAATAACGGAATATTTTGTTTATCATTTTAATCTTGATAAACCTAAAACGTCTAGGAATATCATTCTGACATTAAGAAAGATTTAAAGATTATAGACTGGTAGGTGAATTGTACTAGGAAGAATTCCGACACTTTATTTATCAGATTGTATTGTTATCATCATGTCTTTGTAATGACACAGACTCTCTGATATGAGGGTTTTCGTTTATTGTAAACCCCACATGTCACCCTTCTTATGAATACAATCTGTATTTATATTCATTAAAGTAGAGTGTATAAGCCAGACTCTGATGTTTAACATTTGAATAAATAATAAGTAACAAATTTATAGTTACTCACGGTGATGTTTGTAACTAACATTCATAGTATTGTTAATTAAAGTGGAGCCTTTTATTCATTTGTAATAAACATCACTTTGAAGTGTTGGACATAAAAAATTGTGATTTTCATCAGTTTTTTAAGTGTGATATCTAATAAGATAAAAAGTAATAATTTTTTGTCAACTGATAACTTCAAAATAACAAGAAATTGTTTACACTGTTAGGTCTGCTTTGTTTAACTGAAACATGCTTACTACTTAGAATTCATACATGTTTATAAATATCGATACCGTTTCTAGGCATTGATTTGAGATGAGCTTATGGGTTCATTTAATTCTGAAAACAGATTTATCTTAATACAAGTTTTGGTAATTTCTGGATTATGGTTAGTAGTGAAATTCCAGTAGTCTGTTTAATCCTACACAGTACTCGTCTACTGGATACATCAAAACTGCTAAGTATGTCGTATATCAACGTTATCCTTTCAGGATGCACACATGTCAATTGACACTGAATGATTGCAGTCAACATAAACAAAGAGAAAATACAAACCGTCATAAATTTTCCCTAACAGATTTATTTCACACATTGATTTATTCTACATTGGTGTACAGTCGAATTTTGAATAATTATGAATTAGTTTGAATCATTTATATGTAAACTGAACTGATATACTGAGCCCATATGGTTTGTCCTAGCTTTCGGACAATGTAGTTAACCTTTTCTGACCGACTTATTGTTCATGTATTTCGGTCTTGTCAATTATTCTCCTACAATCTTGGTTGCTTTTACTTGAGTGCATATGCACATTACTTACTTCGCTTATTGCATGTCTAGCCTATTTTTGTCTGATTATTAATACTTGGTCATTACATCGACTTGGTGCACCCAACTTCTCCCCGCTTCACTTTGCTTTGCTTTTACGATTCTCTTTATTGTCTGTCTGATTAAGCAAATGTATGCAATAAATTCATTCAAAATATAAACTGTATTGTGTTTTTATCACCGCTTTCGCATATACTTGGTTCGTCTAAGAATGATATACCGAAGTTCCTACAAATTGAATTCAAATTTTTGGACTATAAAATTTTTTTGATCAATTATGTCGTAAAGAAATCATATGTAACAAAAGTAAGTGATTTACTAAATCATATGTCCGACTCATTCTCTGACATTTGCTCGCATCGTTAATAACGAATATTAAAAGTGCATGTTAAAATGATACTTTTCAACTAAAAATTATAATATTGTTTTCTAAAAATGGATAAATTCTTACCACAAGTAAACATTTTTACAGAATTTTGTTTGAAACAATCAAATGGTAAATTGAAAAGAAAGAACTGGATGATAATTAAAAAAAAAAAACACAATCATTAATTACTTATATTTTTAAAGTTGGCTTAGAAGAGTCAAAAAACCTACAACCAACAATCAAACTACGAAACAATAAATAGAGGAAAATACAAATAGAACAAAGAATTAAAATGCTGAAAATTAAAAACTCCGAATTTATTGCTTTCAGTTCATTTTGAAAATGTGTTGAATAATTTAAACCAAATGAAATCCCAGTCGGCACATAAATAGGCTGTTTAACAAGTATCAAACGATTTGAGAATGAGTTTATTATATTCTGATTTGAAATTCCAGTTTGAATATTATTATTTTTATTATCATCATCATCATCTTCTATTAATTTTGGGAGTGAACTAAAAGCCAGAAATATATATCTGGTCAATTAAAGCATGATAGAACTCTGTTCAAAAGAAGTTAATTTTTACAAATGCGACATACTTACTTACTTACATCCGTTACCCACAATGGAGCATACAATGCCGACCAGTATTCTCCAATTTACTCTGTCCTGAGCTTCTCTTTCCAGTCCGGTACAATTCTCGTTCATTATTCTCATGTGTTTCTCTATTTCTCAGCCTAATGTGTTCCTTGGCCTTCCTCTTTTCCTTTGAACTTGAGGACTCTAAATCAGGGATTGTCTTGTGATGCAGTAAGGTGCGTTCCTCAATTTGTGTCCTATACACTTCCAGTGCTTCTTCCTGATATCCTCCTTCACTGGAATCGGATTTGTTCTCTCCTTCATCATGTTGTTGCTGAAGTTGTCTGGCCAACGGATGCGACGTATTTTGCATAGTCAACTGTCAATCAATACTTGTATCTTCTGGATGATGGTTTTTGTAGTTCTCCAATTTTATGCCCAATACAGTAAAAATGTCTTGACATTCTGATTTTGGTGTTAGTTGCTAGTTGTTCAGAGTTCCAGATGTTGTTCATTTTGAGAAATACAGTCCTTGCTTTTCCGATCCGCGCAATCACATCTGCATCCGATTCACCTTCATTGTCGATGATGCTGCCCACAAATGTAAAGGTGTTTACGTCCTCCAAAGCATCTCCATCAAGAGTGATTCGGTTGGCACATGTTGTATTGTATCACAGAATCTCGGCTTTCCCTTTGCTAATGTTGAGACCTGCTGCTTCACCGGTCGTCTTCTCTTGTATTTGTTGTTGCGTGTGCGATAGAAGAGACAGATCATCGGCGAAGTCAAGATTGTCAAGCTGCATCCTGGCTGTCCACTGTATACAATCCTTCACTCACATGTTGACGTATTCACAATCCAGTCGATCACCAGTAGAAAGGGAAAGGTAGAGTGTAATCAACCATGCCTGACACCGGTCTTCAATTGGAAAGAATTCGTCAGTAGTCCTTCAATCACGATTCTGCAGTTTTATCCATCGTAACAATTCCGTATGATGTTGACTATGTCGTCGGGCACGCCGTAGTGTTGAAGGAGACTCCATAGTACTGTGTTATCAACATTATCAAATGCTTGCTCGTAGTCAGTGAAGTTGATATGGAGTGGTGAGTTCCATGCAATTGATTGCTTGACAATGATCCGTGCTGTTGTAATTTGTTCAGTACACAATTGATGCTTACGAAATTCAGCCTGTTGATCTCGAAGTTTTGTGTTTACGAAGTCCGTAATTCTGTTATAAAATACCCTGTTGAAGACTCTGACTGGTTGTGATAGTAGAAGGATGCCTAGTGACTTCCGAAGTGACTCGGCTTTCATCATGAGACGTCATAACTCTTCTGAGAGAAGACCTCCTAACTCAGAGGGCACAGTTAAATTGGTTTGAATTATGATTTCTGCTTCGAGTTTTTTAGAGAGTCAGATTTGTATGGAACTGAGCCACCAACACCAAGCCCAACCCTCCTCTTTTATCTGGGTTTTGGACCGGCAATAATCTCATAGGTAGTCTTTACGGAGTTGAATCCACCATATTAAAATGGCAATTGTCATGTTTCTAATTCTAATCAAATTCTAAAGTTGAAGTTATTTCTATTCACTGCAAGGATGCTAACAGTTTAGGTCCAGTCTATATGTAATATATGCGGTCAATACAACAGAGGACTAATGAGTAATAATAACTGTAATCGGTTTTAATAAAATGACTGACGTTAAGATGAACACTATTTAATTTGTGTATGACATCCGTCGTCCACATTTAGTACAAACAAGTCAAATGCAAATGCTTCACAATGTTTACCCACTAAGAATAGTCAAAGTCAACAGGAGGCTTAGTATCACGTTAGTCAGGGCTTACCCAGTAGCCAAATAGTTATGAATATGCAAAATGATACGTTTACTTACCAAATTTAAGGTCGTCTAACTATGTCTCTCAAGCCGAACAGTAAGGAGAAGATACCTCAGATTTTTTGAATATCTTCCTAAATGCCTTCTAACAGAGCAATGATCTACTGTAAACAGTGCAATCACCAAACATATTTAGGTTAAAGGACATCAAGTTGATACTTAGCAATCTATCAAGGTAATTGATAAACAGTCGAGCCCTAGTCTTCTGAAGCTTACCTAAGTCGTTGCGATCAGGCACTTGAAACCTGATTTAAGTGTTCGAAATAAGATGATTGTTAATCTTTCTTTGTCTTCATGACAAATACTCCTTTACCATATCATAAAATCTTGGTCAACTCTTTCTCCAAACTAATTACGTTATTACGTCTTCACTTCGACTGTCTTTTAGATTAGTTGTCTAGTTTTAACTAAGTGGGCTTTACTTGTTTTAGAGTCCTAAAATTTGCCAGAGCTTATTCATTACGTAACCACTTGTTTCTGGGACTTTATCCATGTTGAAGAATGTTCTTCGGCAAAAGTTATCTGTTTACTGTCGTTTATTCAGTCTAATAAAATTATTTACACACTTGCTATGTTATACTGATTTATAATCATCGCGATTCACAACTAAACTATTCATGCTGTCAGCAGCTGACGAGTATCAAACGAAATGAAATGAATTCATACTATTCTGCTCGAATCTTTGTTCTTGCTCACTTCAAGATGATATAAGGCACTATTGTGGTGCGCGCTACTTATAAGTAGTATATGACGTGAGTGTAAACGTAATGTCTGGCAGCAAAAGATGGGGGAAGATCAAGAAAGGAAGAGTGGGAACACAATGGAATTTGTATGAAACGCATGAATAAGTGAATTGTCAGACAATGGATTGACGATGAATTGAAGATTTAGAAATGAACGGTCACGATATGGTTTTCCTATTTTACTGAGTAACTCTGTAATTTGCGATAAATACAATTCGGTTGCCCCACCTGTGTTCTCCTTCACTACACTATGTGTATGAGATTGCTCAGTAGTTTAATGGTCATTCGATAACATAAAATGCAAATAGTTTTAATGAACACTATTCTGATCTTAATAGTATTCGTTAGCATGATATCAGGCTATATCTCCGCATCGTTGTCACTTATAACATTTCCCAATTATTGTAATATTATTATTACTACCATTATTATTAACATTATTATTATTGTTATCATAATATTTTATACAGCAAACGAAAATCCTGAAAACATCTCAAAATAGATGAAAGTCAACTAAAATACGTTTATTTGAAGCACTTGTCATCTGCATAAAACTTTGTTCAGAAGAAATAAATGAAAAACATGTTCTTGGTTGTGATGTGGCAGTTAAAGGATTTTACTACGTAGCTTTCTTTGTTTCTCTAGACAATATTATCAACGCCTACTTCATACAAACATGGGCTCTTTAAATATTAAGTAACTTTGTACGTATGCCATACTATATGATTAGTTGTACTCCCCTTATCCAATGTAATGTTTCTCGATGTTAATGGTATTTATCTTGTAGATAGTATAACGCTTGACTTCGTTTTACGTCGCATCTTACTGTCTGGATTGAATTTAATATGCTATCATTGAAATTAAAGGGCGTAGACTAGTGTGCAAATAAATTGGATAGAGAAAATGCTGAACGTCCGGCTCAAGTGAATAGTGAGAACTCTAGTGAATGTTTACAAGTATAATTTTCAGAACAACAAGCAATCAATAAACACAAAAATCAAACGGATATTCTGCAGATGATCAGCTACCAATAAAGCCTCAAGTACCAACTTGTTCAGCCTATTTCTGTATGAAGTGGGTGTCAGTAATATTTTTCACTGCAATCAGTGAACCTTCACAAGACAGTTCTACTGTATTGGGCATAAAATTGGAGAACTACAAAAACCATCATCCAGAAGATACAAGTATTGACTGACAGTTGACTATGCAAAATACGTCGCATCCGTTGGCCAGACAACTTCAGCAACAACATGATGAAGGAGAGAACAAATCCGATTCCAGTGAAGGAGGATATCAGGAAGAAGCACTGGAAGTGTATAGGACACAAATTGAGGAACGCACCTTACTGCATCACAAGACAATCCCTGATTTAGAGTCCTCAAGTTCAAAGGAAAAGAGGAAGGCCAAGGAACACATTAGGCTGAGAAATAGAGAAACACATGAGAATAATGAACGAGAATTGTACAGGACTGGAAAGAGAAGCTCAGGACAGAGTAAATTGGAGAATACTGGTCGGCATTGTATGCTCCGTTGGGGGTTACAGATAAAGCATGTCCAAGAACATAGTACGACCAAACTGATTTGTCTGTGTTTTAAATCATCTTGAACACAGAGAAATACGAAGATGAGTTCGCGCTATCAGTGACGTTAATTTTAAGAGCAAACTATTAGTATTACTTCTATCCTTGTTGGTTTTTAGTAAATCTAATCGATATTACAAAATGAATTTTGACTATTTTGTAAAATCTAAGCATTAAAGAGCAATAATACATTACTGTATAGCTAAAAGAATAATTTTTCGCAAATAAATATTAACATGCTTACGTATATGATTTCACCAAAAGCAATTTCCATACAATAGGTGTTACTTTGAACGAATATGCATCCATGTACTCTGTTGGAAAGAAAAACGCCCTCAAGTATAGACCGATCACAGCTGCAGCCACAGACGTCATGTGTGACAGACAACCATCTAGAACAGTATTTGAGTAGAATACATAGGTTTACACGATTAGTCAACAATAATGATGAAAGTAACAAAAATAACAAATAGTTGTTATTTATCATTATTCAGCACCTCTCTTGGTTCTAACGTCCTCCATTGTCCTTCTGAACGTTTTATTGATGCAGATATGGTCGATTTGGTTCTGAGTAATGTGATCCGGTGAAATTCATGTATCTTTGTGCATGCGTTTGTGTGGGAATATTGTGCTGCCGATGACCAGTTTGTTAAAGGCACATAGGTTAACAAATCTCTCACCATTTTAGTTCCTTTCCCACAGTCCAAATCGTCCCATGATGTCTTCATATGCAGTGTTGTCCATGCCAACTTTAGCATTTACGTCTTCCATCAGAATGGTTAGATCTTTTAATGAGCATCTCTTGACGATTAACTGCAGCCTCCCATAGAATTGATCTTCTACATCTTTATTGTAATCGTTAGTAGGTATATAGCATTAGATGACATTTATTGTAATCCTCTCTTTCTTTGCTTTCAAAGATGCTCTGATGATCCTGGATTCATTGGATTCCCACCCTGTAAGTGTATTTTGTGCTGATTTTGTACAACTCTAGACCCCACGCGGAGTTACAATCATTTTGCTACTAATATGCAGTAAAATAAATGTTTAATTGTAAACTTATATTGTTAACTATTATTAGTACGTTATAACTTCAGATTTATTGATTCTGTGGGCCTTTATTAGTTAACTTGCCGATAATCGATTATTTTCAGCTAACAGGATGAGCGTTGAAACTAGACTGATGTTTGCAATTATAGTCAGTTTCTGATAAAAAAGAGCGAATTATGAATACATTTCTAGAATTATTCGTACTTAGTTTTCACACAGCATTTTATTTATCTTCAGTCTATTACTAACTGTTCAGATAGATATTTAGAAAAAATTACACGTGCCTTGCGAGTAGCAGACCTTATAATAATAATTATAATTATAATGATAGACCATTTCGACTAGATATCAATCTGAATAATAGATTGCTTGTTAAATAATAAAAAAAATAATCAAATGTACTTGTTTGACCTACTTTAATCCACAAAATAGTTAGTGCAGTGACTAAATTGTGTTTAATTTTCATTGACAAGAAACAAATACTTCGGTAGATGTAATTATCAGCTATTAAAACAGGTAATAACAGTAGATACTGCACCTACGTTAACACCAAAAATATTCAGCTTAATCATATGATAAAATGGTCTTTTTTCAAAGGACACGGTGATTATGATGTAATTTTGATTGTAGAATAGAGAAGACAGTAAATGCTATTCAGAAAACTTAAAACTAAGTTACATATATTTTTACGATTATTACAGACTCTTAGTTTTTGAAATTGGTAAAGATTCTCCTTCAGTGCTTCGGCTTTCCTCATACTATATCACTTAGTTCAGGTGTATCATATACGTTTCTGGTATTTCAGTGATCTAAACATTACTGAGAACCTTAGGTAAGCACAACATTTCAGAATTGTGAGTCAAACATTTGAAACTGTCTATGTACTAACTACTCTTAAAGATGCTTGTAACTTTGAAGTGCTAAGGTTGACGTAAAATCATGACGAATTATTGAAAGTAAAGAACAGGTAAATGGCGCGAATCATCATAGTCGCCATATGCCAGTTATATAACAAGTAACAGAGACATCTAATCGAATGATAAACGCTTCATTTGATCTGGTGTCATGGTAATTTACTCGACCATAAAGTAAATAGATATTAGACAGTCTAATGAAAGCCTGTATTTAAATTAACTGAAGACTCCTACTTTATCTAACTTATGCCTACATTTTGACTGTGTTCTGATGCATGCACAGTGATTCAATAAAAATTTCACGTATGTATTAGTGGAAGAACTAGCTAAATACTCCAGGATACATGAGAATATTCAATCAGAGAAAACTCAGCTAGACTTTTATGCAACTGTAATAACAGCATTTACGTATGTCGGTAACTTGTACAGAAGTTCCAAGTAAAGACAGTGGACGTTAGTAACTTTTATTAAACTGATTAATGATAGCCTCCGTAACAATATACGAGAACAACCTAAAGGTGTAATGAAAAAAGATATGTATGCAATCAAAGGCGGCAGGGCCTAGAAAAGTAAGAGGAAAAGAAAGTGAGGATAAAAAGTAACACCAAAAAGTTGTTTAAACTCACCCAAATATATGGGTCAAAAAGTTAGCTAATATCATGACTGTTCTAAAACTACTTGACATTAGTTTCTAGAAATACACTCACTGATATGAAGTACCCAGACTGTACAGTACTGTTTGATGAAACGATGACAAACAGTCTCCTTAGGATTTTGAGCGACACAGCAAAGTCGCTTCGAATACGTTTATCTTCACGCAAATATAAACATTATATCCAAGATTATATGACGTCAAAAAGCAGTTTCTTCAGGAACGGTAAAATATTCCAGTGTGTTAATCACCTAAATCATCTTTAATTTCTTACTAGTCACTCGTGACGCAGTTGAGATATCAGTCTGGCTACTAAAGAGCACATACACGTCTTTGTGACTTGATCTTATGTCTGTGAAGACTAACCTCTGGAAACAAGTGGTATGTGTAAGTTCATAACATTTAGCTTTAGATGCTTTCTACGGATTGAGGTAATATAATTGAACCAATAGATAATATCAGAGAGCGATCAGCCATCAGGAATAAACTATTTCAGATACCTACTTTACAACATCACCCTTTTCTCAGCGAAGTCTGCAGCGGCTACAAAGCTACTTCCTCTGTGTAGTTATTCACCAAAGAATACTCTACTTAGTCTGAAAAAGATAGTTGGATTTTGGGTAATTTACTGTTTTGATGACCGATCGTAACTGCTACGTTGACGTAGCGGTCGAGCTTGCCTATCAAGATGACCTAACCAAACTATGTTGGCTAGAACATATGTTCATGTAGGTTCTACCATGCTAAGCAGGTAGAATGCAGAACGGCAAAACTAGAAGCAGCAACTCAAAGTGTGAAGGCGAAGTCTTACTGCTGACTGTCGAGGGGTGTGACAGCAGTAAGATGTTCCCCCTGGACAACTATCATCTGCAGTGATGCTGCCTCCTTACAAGGAAGAAATTTGTTAGAAAAGATCGACCCTAAAATGTCGCATCTCAACTTATCTCACAGATTTCTGTCTCCAGTGATAAGGCCTTTCAAAAAAAGAGCGGAGCTAACACTTTAAAAACTTTTCACAAAAGGCCGTGAGTGACCGGCCTCAAGCAGTTGTCCCTTAGGCTCTGCAGCCACACTCCTAGCTCCCTAAGACCAACACTAATCTACCTTTCTTTTCAGGTTCCTCAGGAAACACTCTTCCGTGGTGTGGGCAGCCGGGAAGTGACAACCGCCCTCATACTCGTAACAACATACGAGACCGAATTGGTCAAAATCAAATCCTTCCTACACCCCTTAACATCTGTCTTCTTCCCACGACCAACCCTTCTCACATTCTTCTATCACCTCACACCGCTAATGCAAACGACTCGAGTTCAAGGAACGTTATTCCTGGTCTCCTAAAACCCCGTTCTAAACTACATATTGGGTGAGAAGCTTAACTCGCTTAATTGGAGTTTTGCATTGAATGTGAGTGCCAAGTGGGCCATTTTTGGTAAGCAGAAGTGGCGCTGTGTAATGAACAAAACGTTCGGTTAAGGTGCCTAACGCGATGCTCATGAGATACCACAAAAGGTATTGGTTAGTCTAGACAGCAGGACAGTGGCCATGGAGGTCGGAAGCCGCTAAGGAGTATGTAACAACCCGCCTGCCGAATTAACCAGCCATGAAAATGGATAGCTCTTGAGCGTTGGACCTACACCGGACCGTTACTATAAGCTGGGCCTTCGCTGCACTTCGGTTGCCCACGATCTCAAGTCAACCTGAATGGCGAATCAACGCAAGTCCTCCGACTCTTTATGAAGTTACACGAAATGAGAAGTTCGTGAAGATCAGACTAGAGAAAACGAGGTTAGTTCCGGACCTGGACATGGATGTATAGACCACATATTCACACGCATTTAAGCGTCCGACAATAGTTGTTTTCCTGGGCCTTAAGGCGGCATTTGACTCAGTGGATCTTGAGTTTCTATGGCATTGTCTGTCATTGAAAGGTGTAGCAAAGAAGTACATTAACCTTATACAAGCTTTCTACTCTAACACCATTGGTCAAGTGAGAACTTATGACGAACTGTCATCGGAATCGATTACTTCAGGTGGTGTCCGTTAAGGTCGTTCACATTCTCCATTCTCATTTATTTTTGTGATTGACATGCCTTCAGATACCACGCTTTCATCATCTGACTTTTCAGGAATTGAACATCTGCCGGGAAATTCGCTTGCTGACTTAGAACATGTCGATGTCATAGTTCTATTCAGTGACGACACTGACTAAATGCAGTCTTCTGACTACCCTAAGCAACGATGCAAGCATGTTCGGGATGCGGTTTTCCCCCTGGAAATGCAAAATGTTGCTTCAAGATTAGGTTGTATCTGCACCTGAGCTATTGATAGGGAGTGAAGTAGTTGAGCGTGTTTACTGCTTCATTTATCTTGGGAGTTTTATCAGCGGTGATGCCTTGGTTTGTGACGAAATCTCAGCATGGATTGGCTTTTTCCAACTTGTAGGTGAGATATCTGTCTGCTAACCAAAGATTTGGTGTACTGCGCATCAGTGCTCGTCCTACTTATGGCTGTGAAACAACGTCAGTCAGATTTGAAAATGTTCTTAGGTTGCTTGTTTTCGATCATAGATGTCTCCGAAGTATTGCTTGTATATCTTGGTACTATCGAGTAAGCAGTGCTATTGTTAGGGAACAGGTATTTGGTAAGGATGACAGATCAGTAGATGAAGTAGTGAAACTTTATCAGTTGAGTTGATTAGGACATGTGTTACGAATGCACAACCACCGACTGCCTCGTCAAGCTGTTTTGTAGTGTAGTAGTAGGTTGGAATAAAGCTAGGGGCGGTCAAACCAGAACATGGCACAAATCCGTGGAATCACTGACAAGTGAACTAAATCATGTTAGTAGGTGTAGACTATAGTAACCGATGTTTGAAGGCTTTGAATGACACGACTTCTTGAATAATACCTTCAAATGTTTTCCATTACCGCTTATACTTATATTACCTCTTCCACTATGGGATTCGAATTAACAATTGCATCTCTGTGTGCTAATGTTATATTGCAATTTGAGTTGATGTACGTACGATGTTGTTGCTGAATAACTGACTGAATATTTTGATGATTAATTAGGAACTTATTTCAGTAACAAGCAATAATAAAGTCATTAACTTGCCTATTCATTTGGCTGCGGTGCCTAATATGCTACTAATCTAGTCATGACTTGCACCCACTACCACAGACAAATACGAAAAAGAGAAGTAATTATTTGACATTTTCAGTCTATTAAATTAAAAACAAGACAACTTAGCAACCACGTAAAGGTCCGGATTCTGACTTACATACGTGGAAAATGGATTATGCACTTTGAAGACCTAATTGTTTCCAACCCAGCAAGCAACATTTGATAAACACTAAGCTGTTTTGTATAACCCAGTCAAACGTTTAGAATTTGATAAGTACCGAAAATGACATTTTACGGACTGATAAGGTTCAAAATCAGTACTTAGAGACTATTTCCATTCTACCATTTCGTTAGACTGCATGATTTATCGAAGCAAAGTTTCAATAATAAACACAATCAAAAAAGTAGAATACACAAAATCAACTTAAAAAAAGAACCCATAAACAGCAATTTATTACAAACATTTGATTCCAACAACCTTTCATACAAAAACCTAATTTTATCTGTCTTCTGAATAATATTGTGTGCTATAGATATGAAAATTCTTAGTCTAACCTGCATGTCTGCGTTCCACCAGGAGTTTGCGTTTGTGAGACATGAATGTGACATTTCTTTGTCTGTTTTTTACAACTGCGGAATCCGAAATGGTAAAGCATCCAGAAGGCCGTTGCCACGACAAAAATTTGTTGAGAACAGAAAGCTGGATAAATTTTTCATAACCAAGACCTCCGCACACGAACACTAGAATCAGAATTACATGCAAAACATCCCTTAATAATTACATGCAGTATTTGAAGTCACCCACTAAAACTAATTTAGAAATAACATAACTAAATTCATCTTTAGTCTTTTCAGTTAAGTAGCAGTTACACGATTCTTACTATAAATGTTCACCAAAGATTTTAGTAGACGTGTTATCCTAAGATTACAGGCTATTTTGAAGTCAGCGAAAGCAATTCACATGAAAAAGCTGGACAGATATGGACATTTTGATTGAACTCCGCTAATATATCTACCTTATTTGTTGCTTGGATGTGAGTTAATCTGTTTAAAAAGTGTGTATAAAATACAACTACATTGATTTTCACTATCAGGCTGAAAAGTGTTCACTAAATATAAAATAAAGTTTTATTCTTTCAATAATAGCTAGTCCGATTAAAAAAGAGTGATCATCCTAACTTCGTGGTACGATAGTATGGAGACGACCGATAAATTTGCGTAGTGTATATGAGATAACAGAATAAGTTGGTAACGACCAAAAGTAATGTGTCTGTGGGTGAGTGAAACTACGTAAGAATTCCATAGATACCGAGTAATGGAGTAATATGATATGTAGACGGGAGATATAGTTTATCAGATGAAACTCATTTAGAGAGCTCTAATTAGGGTTACCCCTTCTGATATAAACCAGGTCTTCAGAACGGATTCAAAAATACTGATAAGTAGAATGATAATCTTTACCGAAATCCGAGAAAAGTAACTTAAAAACTATGCTTAAAGAAACACTTACAGGAAACGCTTTCATGAAATAAATGTGTACATCTCTCATGTCTATACCCTGCCTAAAAAGAGGTTGCAGTATAGATAAAATCCAAAACTCATTTTTTACCTTACTTACTGACTGGATCCTTAACAGATTCGTGTACTTGGCTTCAAATCATGCTCTAGGTTTGAGGGCTAGATCTTCTTTACTAAACGATTTACTTATAAGTCGCATCATTTCAGAAAATTCCTAAATTGGCTAATAACATTAAAATTATACGAATCCTCTAAGCATTGTGACAAAACATAGCTTTCATCTTAACTATCAAGATGGTGGAAATAACGAGATCAAGTTTTGTGTGAAATTAGAGCCAAAAACTCACTTTGTTCAAGGAAAATATCTCGATCTTGAGGGATCGTTTCCACATGTTGATAGTAATTTAAAAAATCTTCAAACATAATAGAACACAGTCTATTCTTCAAGCTTTCCAGGCTAACCGAAAGATTTTCCAACATACGACTTAGGGACATAGTACAATCAACCTGTTTATCAAACTACATAATATGATATTACTTGATGTGAAATGAGAATGTACAGAACTTGGTGAGCCATTTCATAACTGCGAGACTGGAAGTTCATAAGCTTGGCAACACATTTCATCGAAAGATGACAATCAAGAGTTCCTTGACGGTTTGCATTTAGCAACTGGATGATACAGTCATCACTGGAAACATTTTGCACGCTTGGTATGAAGTCTACATCTGATGGATAAAAATACGGGTTGACTTGACTGGGGAAAGTCCATTTCAGTGTCAAAAGTTTACCCATTTCCATGAAGTAAGGATCTTCCGCATTTCTTAATGCTTTCACACTCTTTCCAATGATGGCATCAATCCTCAAAAGTTGCATCTTGAACTTCCTCGTCAGTGGTGACAAGATAAATTTTAATTCCCCAAGATTTTCATACAAGGAATCATTAGTAATACTTTCAAGAGCTCCTGAAAAACTTATAAGAAGATTCTTTACCTTTTAACGGTATAAGGCCAAAGATACCATCAAAATTAAATTCACTGCTATGCTGTTCGTAATAACTGATAAGTTTGTTCAATGACAACAACAGTCTTTCTACTTTTTCTGATATTGGGTTATACCCTGACACTAGAGTTAAAAAATACAGCATAAAAATGACTTTTTGTCTATTTTTGTCCATCTTTAGGGAGATAGACATAGGTTTTCTTCTAATGACTGTTGAAAAAGGATTCAGAAACTGTCCTGAATATATGAATAAGAATTTGAATCGACTAAGTTAAAACAGATATTTGAATGTATGGATTTCTATGACTGGTGATCAAAGTGTGAGCGATAAGTCATACCTGCGTGACTACATTTATTTAAGGGATCTCTATTTATCTTAGTAACATTAAATAAGACTGGTACATCAAAACAAAGAACCCAGTCCATGGTTCACAACATTTTACAAAAAGGATTAAAAAGGTGAATTTTCTTTTCTTCGCTAGTGAAAGTACTGTGCGAATTCAAACTCAATCTGACAAATGAACCCTAACATTTCTTTAGTATATTTCTGTGAGTGTCTGATTTCTCCTAAAGTGATTCAGTTGAATTTGCTATCATTACTTTGTCAGGTAATATAGGATCAAAATCATCTCTAAAAACCTATGAAACAAGATTACATTGATTCTTAATCTACTATGCGACAGCACGAAAACGCTTATATTTGCAAGCCACACTGTTATAAATAAGTCGCGGATTTACTGACTGTAATAGTATTTTATCTCGATTCACTATACCTGGTCAGCCACAACTTCGAATACGCATTAAATTCGGTGAGTCTGTAAGGAAGGCAACTGTTAGCACATCACCCCTTGGGTGATACTAATCCAAGCCACCACTTCACACGACTTCAGTCATTGGCGGGACCAGCGGCATCTGACTCTGACAGTCAGAGAATTGTTGTTAGAAGCCTTACCAGCCCACATGCAGCCTACGATCACCGCTCTGCCTGGGGACATGACAATTAGCTAGTCTGCCCTTATTGCAGACAAAATTATAGCGGACTAGCTCGCGAGACAAATATACGGTTGCCTCCACGTCACATACCAGCGTGGACCTAGATGCCAATCATGTTCATGCTCAAGGAGATAGGGGTCGCTGTATTCACAGCCGTCTCAATTTCCAAGATCGTTCTACTGTTCCGAAACCCCACGAGCACGTTCTCGATCAAGAAAGGCACAAAGTACTATTTCCGAGCGTGCATATTCCAAGCCACACCAAAAGGCGACTTCGGAAGCGAGTACCGGCTGGTGTTGGTTCCACCAGACTTTTAGGTCTGGCGCCCGTCATCGTCGAGACCCCCGCTCATACAAGGTGGGAAACTTCAAGCCAACCAGTAAACGCGGACGTATTCGTCGACCCCTCGCCTCAAGTTGGTCTCGTATTTTACGTGCACGATATTCGCACTAACGCTAGATACCTCGTTAACACAGGTGCCCAGGTATCTGTCGTTACACTTGGTAGCAGCAAGTCTCAACCTATGATGGTTCGTCTACGCGCTGCGAATGGCCCTGTCATTCCTTCCTATGCTACACGACAGCTGACGGTCAACCTGGGAAACCGACAACTGTATCTGTGGACGTTCATCATTGCTGATGTTCCCACAGCCATACTCGGAATCGATTTTCTTACAGCATGATGTTTCGCTAGTCGATTCACGTAGGCTGCAGCAAATCGATGCTTCGTCTAACAGCAAATTTATGGGCTTTCGAGCTCAGCAGGTGCGTACCGTATTACAAGGGTATTTCATTCGCGTGATGACATTTTCCACGCTTTACTAGAAACATTTCTCCAGCTAACCACTTCATTCGAAGAGAATCTTTCGGTGACTCATCATGTGGTACACCACATCGTCACCCGCGGACCACCAGTCACGTCACCACCTCGCCGACTGGCACCGGAAAAATTAGCTTCCGCTAAACGTGAGTTTGACAATTTACTGGCCACATGTAATATTGGTCCTTCTCACAGTCTTTGGGCCTCACCACTCCACGTGGTTCGCAAAAAGGATGGGATAAATTGGCGACCATGTGGTGACTAGCGAGCATTAAACGAAGCAACACGTTTCGATAGCTATCCTGTCCTACACATACACGACATCATGGCATCACTCAAGTGCACGACTATCTATTCTGAGATTGATCTGGTACGAGCATATCATCAGATCCCAGTCGCCGTTGAAGATATCGAGAAAAATGCTATCACGACTCCTTTCCAGCTTTTTGACTTCCTACGAATGCCATTTGGATTACGGAACGCTGCTCAAACTTTCCAAAGGTTTATCGATAGCATAGTACGAGACTTTGCTTTTGTTCACGTCTATATTGATGACTTGTTAATCGCATCATCAAACGTAGATGAACATTATCAACATCTTACGCTCTCATTCCTACACCTTTCGGATAATGGAAGAGTAGTTAACCCAGACAAGTGTGAGTTGGGCAAGGTAGAAATAAAATTCTTGGGTCACATCATTAAGCATGAGGGTATTCTACCTTGTGAAGATAAAGTACGTACAATCATGGATTACACTGTATCGTCCTTGTTACGTCCAAGTTTTGCTCCTTCCGGTTATTGAAGTACAGTATGTCGATCTATTTGCAATTCACGAACCCAAAGTAACTACAAAACCTTAACTCCAAAGTTAGGTACCAAAGTTTATTCGCAGTTCACAAATAGTCGACCAAAATGTCGTTCGCAATTCGCAAATAGTCGACAAAAATGTCGTCCTTCAATTTTATAGGTTCCTGGAGCAAAAACTCCCAATTAGCAAACGAAGACAAACAGAAACCAAAATGTCCGAAAATAATAAATCAAACAAGTTCATAAGTTAAGTAAAACAAATATACCCCAAAAACACAGTATATTAATGATTTTTATATAAAGGTTTTAATCAGCCAAATGTCTTCATTTCTCCCGTAACAGTCCTCACTCGAGGAACTGAAGGCTTTTCTCGGTTTGTTCAACTTCTACCGACGTTTCATCCCTCACGCCGCGGAACTGTTAAGACCACTAACTGACTTACTTCGCGGTGACCCACGTAAATTAGAGTTGAATGATGCAGCGCACACTGCATATTTCTGGAGGTTGGCGACCTCTCGAATTTTTCTCACAACGTCTTGCTCCCACTGAGACGAGATATAGCGCTTTTGATCGCGAACCGCTACCAGCCTACTAAGCCATTAAAAAACTCCGGCAAACATTAGAAGGTCGTAATTTTATCCTCTTCACCCACCATAAGGCTCTAACGTATGCCTCGCATACCACGTTTGACCACTACTCACCACGAGAGTCCAGACATTTGAACTACATCTCTCATTTCACGATAGACCTTCGTCATATTAAAGGCGAGTCGAACTCTGTTGACGATGCTCTGTCACGTATTCAGGTGAATGCAGTTAATTTAATGGTGCTTGATCTTCCCGCTATGGCCGCTGCCGAAGCAAATGATCCCTTCTGTACAGAAGCAGAATAATCTACATCCCTCCAGTGCCTTGAAGTACCACTAGCTACCACCTCAGGTACTATCCTGTGTGACAACTCTACTAGTTTTACCCCGACTCACTGTACCTTCTGCTCATTATCTTCTTATCTTCGATGACCTCCATGGATTGTCTCATCCAGGTATCCCAGCCACATTTCGTCTCATCGCCGCACGATACGTCTGGCCAACCATGAATAAAGATGTCCGTATGTGTGTAAAGCAGTGTTCACGATATCAGCGATCAAAAGTGCACAGGCACGTAGTCTCCCCTATCGGCACATTCGCTACGCCTGAAGCTTGCTTCGATCACGTTCATATTGGCATTGTAGGACCAATGCCACCATCAGATGGGTATGATCACATACTCACGTGCATCAATCGTTTCACAAGATGGCCCGAAGCAATTCCCATCACTTCTATTACGGCGGAAACAGTTGCTCACCGCTTCACAGGACGATGGATAGCGCATTATGGTTGTCTCTCAGCTGTCACAGCTGACCGAGGGAAACAGTTCAAGTCCGAATTATTCTCTTCGCTAGCCCGGCTGCCTGGTATGAAGCGCATGCGCACTACCGCCTACCACCCAGCTTCGAATGGTTTAGTCGAACAGTTTCATCGCCAAATCAAAAGTTCTCTTCGAGCACACGAAAATAACAATTGATACGAAACATTACCGTCGTTCTTTTAGGTTCAATGTTCCGCAGCTGAATTGGTATAAGGAACAACATTGCGTCTGTCTGGGGAATTTTTCGCACCACGGAGCAGTGGTAACTTCAATAAACGAGACCACGTCCAACGATTGTCTGAATTTATGCGAGCACTGCCTCCGGTGTCAACTCGAGTACAACATCGACAGGTCGCTCTCCTTCGAGAGTTATCTACCTGTTCGTATGTTTTCATACGAGTCCATTCGGTACACGAACCTTCGCAACAGCCTTACGAAGGACCTATTAACGTGATTTCTCTTCACGACAAGGCCTTCAATGTTGCTCAACATTGCCGCGTCGAGATAGTCAGCATCGATCGTCTTAAGCCAGCACACGTCGATGACAGTGCCTACTTGCTAACTCCAGACCCGATGCTAGACATATCAAACATGCTAGCTGGATCCTTAAAGCTACTTCCTTTCCCACGCCAGACAAATCAGAGTCCTCATTCCCACATCCCAGTCAACAACACGCGTCATCTGCACTATCTACGAATCAGCAGACCACGACGTGCTTGACTACGGATAAAACTGACGGCTCACGAGGTAGACACGAGATTACCATCTCGCTTTCCGGTCGCCGCGTACGCCTAGCTGTACGTTTTCTGGAATGACCACCCAGGCAACAACCGGTACGTGATATTACACGATCCTCGTACTACATGTATGATATACTTTTCTCTTTTTTTTTCATTTTGTATCCTGAGTCCATATCTACGACTATCACCCTGTTGGTACAGTCTACTGCAGTCAATCTTGGTGAAAGCTGGCCTGATCATTGACGTTTCCGGCAAAGCACTCAGTCGATGTTTTGGTTTCGAGTGTTCTTGTATACGTATGGTTTCGAACTTGATCGTTCTAGTCGTTTCTGGCTCCCACGTTCAATCTGGTTCTGCCCTATGTCTGCAGTATTTTTCTGGTCCGGACGGCAACGAATTCAAACTCCAGACTCTGGATACGAGCCACGCTGGTGTGGCAAGCCAACCTGAACACTAAACGTAGCACATCACTATTGGTACAGTTCAACGTAAAAGAATTCCGATGATAACTCGAGGTTTAGTGGTCGTTTCCTGTCCAGTAACCCTTTCGCCCTAAAATCGCCCGTTAGCCGACCAGTACCCCCCTCAGCACAAAACCACTGTGTATCGAA